CAACGGTTTTTGCGCAAACATTTTTGTCTTCCTAAATACGATTTTGGGACCATTGTGTATCCGAATGAGCACAGCAGAAAGCAGGCATGTACGACCGAAGAATGTCAATGGTTGGATGATCATTCGCGAAAATATTCCAGAAGAGCCTAGAAGAGCTAGATCGTTGTGATGGATGGAACTGGTATGGTTCTCAACGCAGCTCAAATTAGATTTATGGTCAGGAGGAAGGTACATAACGCCGATGCTTATAATATTGTGTGATGTCCTAATCTTCACCCATAACTGCTCAAGAAAAGTGCTGACCGAAGCAGGATCGAGCCAGCAGTTCAGTCGTTTGGAACCCGCAATCAAGACGCCACCACCACGTGATTTGGCACTGTTCATCCGGTTACGGTCATTGCGAAAAACTGAGAACATACTACCAAATAATTGTGCTGAGTGAATTCGATCATCTAGTCAGGTCTTGGTATGAACTATTGCATCGTAGTTGGACAAAGACTATGATGAGCGCTGTCAGGAATCAGCGAGAATGGACTAGAGTAACCAGTAGCCAAAATGCAGTCCATAGTGCGTCCCGGGTGTGAAGTTACGTGACTCATGCTGTACACTGCCGGTGGAAGCATAACTCTCGCGTAACATTTGAAAAGGGGCTATCCTCGTTGATCGATTCTCTTCATCAACTTTCTCTTTGGTTTGCCACGGCAACATAAACGAATTTCTCGCTAAGTTTGGCAGAAGATGATGTTAGCTTGCGCCAATTTGTCCCATGTTACAAAACACAAAAATGAAAAAAAAAAACTGCAGTTTAAGTGTCAACAGACGTGCTATAGTAAAATTTCACGGAAAAAATTGGTTCTACTTTGGTAATATAACTATTCCATGGAATGTTTGTCAAATTTTTGCAAGCAAAAATATTTTTTCCATTAAAAAATCTTCTGTGACACTTATACCGCGAATTTCTCTGACGAATTGAAAAATGTACGCATATCTGTCCCACTGTGAACAACTTTTCAGTTGCTGCTTTATGTTTGACACTTCGTGAGTCCTGATGAATGTGGGCGTCTTAGTAGAATACCTGTATAATGAGAGAGAAAAGGATTAGTAATTTCCATTTAATTCTACTACCTTATTTGCTTATCCTCGACAGATACGCGTATTTCGTCTACAATGTACAGACTTCATCAGTGTCTTGCACTAATACTCGACTGAAGAAAAACATCGCATTCACCGAATATATATTAACACAGGTACATTTTCAGGGAATTGTCATCATCTTCCTCGCTTGAATACGAAATTTACAGGAAACCAACAAGCACCAAAAGAGTTATCGCCTATACTTCCAACCATTCGTGCCAGCAGAAAATGGTCGCCTTTCGCCACATGGTTCATCGAATGCAGACTCTTCCACTCAGCGATACAGGAAAGGTTAAGGAATTACAGTACATCTTCGAAACAGCAAGACTCAACGGATACAAGGAGACCACAATCCAGGCAATCATCGATAAAAAAGCGAGAATTCTACAAAGGAGATTATTTACAACCCTCACCACAGCACCTGAACCATTGAAACGAGTGTCCGTTCCATTTGATCAAGATATTACTTGTAAACTAAGACCACAGTTAAAACAATTCGGATTAGATTTAGTTTTCACCCGTAGACATAAACAGTTGAAATCATTGTTAGGATCCACTAAAGACCCAGTTAATGTTTTAGGTAAAGCAGGTGTATATAAAATAAGCTGTAATCATTGTAACTACGTATATATAGGACAAACCAAGAGAACTGTAGCAACTAGATTTAAAGAACATATAGCGGAGGTTAATAAAGCCAAAAAGCAAGAGGAAAAAGGCCTAACATACGATTTCAAATCAAAGGTTGCAGAACACATCTTCACAGAGGACCACCAACTATCGACGGAGGACATCACAATTTTACGAACCGTATCTACACCATGGAAATTGGATGTTGCAGAAAGCCTCGAGATCAACAAACAACGTAATTCAACTTTACTCAACTTGGATCAAGGAAACGGACACACATGGCTTTTCAAGTTACTACCTAGGACACATCAACGAGTAAGCAGCGGAGTACCTATTCCTACAGGAAATTAAATTTAAGTTTACCTGTGTTAATATATATTCGGTAAATGCGATGTTTTTCTTCAGTCGAGTATTAGTGCAAGACACTGAAGAAGTCTGCACATTGTAGACGAAATACGCGTATCTGTCAAGGATAAGTAAATAAGGTAGTGGAATTAAATGGAAATTACTGATCCTTCTCTTTCTCATTATACTTCGTGAGTGACGTTTGAAGTTTTTCTTTAAAATTGTTGATGTCAGTGCCAACATTTCAAAGGGGCTTAATTGCATTTGTAAACAATGCATAGAATTTTTTCATCTACCAGCTACCATTGTTAATTTGGAGGGGTGAGCATTTATTTGCGAGATATCGACGGCTAAAGCCATTGCTTACAAAAGCACTTACGCCCCTTTGAAACGTTGACACTGATTTAAATATGGACCGGAAACGTCTGCTATAGAATATTTAAAGCAGTACGGTGGTTTCAGTGATAGTGATTGCTAAATTTTTTTTAACGAGACATTTGTGCATACGCACGCTCATTTCCAGTGTTTGTATGTCGCACTACCAATGACATTCTCAGTTCGTTTTTTAAAGATTAATTAAGAAGCATGCTCACCTTAACAAACTTACATTTTGGTTGGACAATTTCTCATCCCAAAACATGAATTGGAATTTGTTTCAACACATCATCCTTCTGATAAGCAGTACAGAAATTCAAGTTTTTTTTCTTAGAGAGATTTTTAGCCATAGGCTAGTTCATCTCTTAACAAAGAAAAGAAATTCAAGTTGAGCAAATACTGTTAAAGTTTTTTTAATTAGGCCATACTGGCGCTAATTCGTTTCACGCAGTGGTTGAAAAAATATGCGTCACGAACGTGTCGTTCCAAGCTAAATTGAATGTCTCTCAGTACACGTTTAACTTATTCAAGCCTCGTCCGTACGTGGACATCATGAGAAAATTGTTGTTTTTTTTCAAAAAAAGGACGTTATGAGCTAGGATACGCAAGCAACACAGCAGTGAGGACCTTAAATACTGCGAACTGTTTTCCAAGAAACAACTCCCGCTGATGGAAAAGGATACGCTCTCTACTGAAGCTAACGTACTCTGGCAAAGGTCTCCTAGTGGAATTGAAGTAGATACACGGCGAATGAGATCGACCCAAATTTGAATTTAGTCACTCATAATCGCCAAAAGTGCAGGAACCTCAGCGATGTGTAAATTTGTCTCATTGTTTTCCTGTGGAAAACCTAAAAAATCTGCCGGAAAATGAGGAAATTGACGAAAATTTTATTCAGTCTCGGAGTAGTACCAATAGACTGAGTGAATCCAATCTTTACTTTTCTCAAATTTGGGAATTTTTCTCTGGAAAATCCTGGAAAAACCTGTGAAAACATGAGGCAAATTTACTCATCGCTGAGTTCCTGCACTTTTGGCGATTATGAGTGAACTAAACTCAAATTTGGGTCGTTCTCATTCGCCGTGTAGGAAGGCCTCTCTGTTGGCAGTTGTCGTACCTGTTATTGGAGAAGACAAAACATCATTTTTAGTTGCTCTTCCGACTCGTTATGATAGTTATTTAAGGTTAACCGTTGTATGCATTTCTGTTATTTTTAAAATAAATCTCATCATTTTACTCCTTAGTTTTTCAATACCAAATTATCATATGTGTCACGAAAAGGTACAAATAGGGTAAGGTGTTGCAAGTTGATTAGTACATTTTATAATTTATTTGTTTGTAAATAGTAACAGAACTGAGAATGATAGCTCAAATTTTCATAAAAAAAGGGTTAATATGCTTAAGACGTTATCGAGGTATCATCCAAATAATTCAAAGATTAATTTTACCATCTGGGCAATCGTTTGGAGCTAGTGATATGTTTAAGATGTATTAGTTATTTGAATAACAGACTATAATTTTTGAAGAATTTCTTATACATATTGAAAATTGGAGCAGTGGGACAGATATGCGTCCATTTTTGCAATGTTCAATTTTGCGACTTCACATTTTTTATTAATTTTTCTAGAATAAACAGCATATTTTAATATAATATTAAAAAAGCATTGATTTAAAACGTTAAGCATCATAACCTCAAAAAAGTCGAAATGTCTCATATGACAGTTATGTTTCCACCGGCAGTACACTGCCGTTATACGCATAAGAGTCCCACGGTGCATAAGGTTTGCATAGAACATGGGACAGTAATGGGTATAACGGCAGTACAGTGGTTGTTCAATGCCGTTGGCAACAGAAATGCTACTCAACTGGAGGAAGTCGGTGAAGGATTCGGTTTCTAGAGGCGTAACACGAATTTGGACAGATTTGGACCTGTTTCACACGACCTGGTCACAAATGCCTTGCCAAATTGATTTCCTATGCAAGTGATGTGAATTTCGCGAATAAACACGAGGAGGGTTGATAATAGCAAAACTCGTCAAATACAATCGTCATAGTTCATTTCAAACTAGTTTCAACTAGTTAGTTTCAAACCAACACTTCTTCCATCTGTGGCACCTTTACATATTTACATAAGCGCCTGACACTGGTACAAACTTCTGTAAAATCCACGATATAGAATACATAGAACACACAATCGTTAGGGTGGTACACTTGCCTCTAGATCCCCGATAAGAAAACCTTCAAACCTGGAGAAATTTTGATTTTGTCCCTATGGATACATATAGACAAGAAAATCTAAAATAAATGCATATAAACAAGAAAATCTACACCAATTGTGGCATTTTCCGTATGAAAAATAGACCATTACTATACATTGTACGTATCTTGCAAACACCGTCCTCTCAAGTGGATGATGTCATACCAATTACTCGACTGTGAGACTTTCGATTCGTTTATCTACCTAGTATCAAAGTGCCGATAAATACCAAATGTTATCGTTTACCCAAAACATAACGTACCTTTTGGCCAGCGACAGGATAAACCTATCGAATGCTTCATCCATTTCACAACGCTTGAAATACATGTTTACCGTACATGAAAAGCAAAACTTCGATGTGTAATCAAAACAACGCGCGTGTACCATGTATCTTTATTCTCTCTGTTCAGCTGTTTCAGCTTCACTGCACTGAGCATTCAACGAAACGAATGTCAAAAGCTCGGAGAACTTGCATAAACAAACGCAGCTGCTGTTTATCAGCCCGGTGTGAGAGTGAGTGTTACAGTAGTTGGAATGATTACTGTTACGTTCTCGATATAGTCCTCCCCAGGCTGCTGTCAAAAACCTATCAATTTACACGCTGCTTGGAGAACTCTATAATTACATTTTATTTAACCTAATTAAAATTTCCTCGATATGTTAGACTATAACTATTATAATCAGCATTGAAAATGGAAGCGAAATCCAAAATTGCAGAAATTTTGATGATCTGAAAATATTTTTATTTTACTTAAATACGTTGGCAAAATAAAAATATTTTTAGATCATCAAAATTGCATTTGTTAAAAAATATTTCTAGTCAATACCAAAATTCTCGAGTAACATTTGAAATGGGCCTATGTCCAAAACGTAAACAAATCGGGTTTCGATACCATTCTTTAGAACCGCTTGATAGCTACTAATCGTGTAGGAAAGTTCCGCATAATCGAGAAAAATCATTAAAAATAGCTCGATTTTCGATTAATTAATAGGCCCGCACGCTAAACCGGCCAACCATTCATTTATTTAATTTCATTGATAATCCTAGTGACGTAAAAGGGCCGATGAATTTTTTTTTCGTTGCGAAAAGGCTTAGCAAAGGGCGTACCATTTCTGATGACAAGCACGATGGCTTAACAAAAAGAGCCTATCCATTGAAATTTATTTATTGTATCACATGAATAAAAGTATGAGTAAAAACTACACTGATAGGCAAAATAAAGTGCCCACCCCATCATTTTTTGAATTTCTCTCATTTATTTGGTTCAAATTAAAGTAAATACACTGTAGTATTTTTTATATCTTATTCTTTATATTCTTTTTAAGTTTCACTTATAGAATACCAGATAAAAAGAAGAGACTGACTCGAAGAAAAAAAAATCAAAATGGGTGTAAAAAAGAACAGTGACAAAAAAAAGTGCCCACTGCATTTTAACTCCAGAAAACATAAAATAAAGTAAAAGAATACCAGCCTAATAGTTAATGTGTCCTCCTTTGGCCTTCAGGACCAGCTGCAGGCGCTTCGGCATGCTCTCCACTAGATTCTTCAGGTGCTGTGGATCTAGTTCTTCCCAGGCGCGCTCCAGGGCTTCAAAATAGTTATTTTTATTGGTAACACCAGTTTTGTCAACCCTGGCATCGAGAATCGCCCACAAATTCTCGATGGGGTTGAGGTCCGGGCTTTGTGGAGGCCATTCCAGTGGTTTAATTCGACATGACCGGAAGAAAGACTTAGTCTTCTTGGCAGTATGCTTCGGATCGTTGTCCTGCTGGAATACGAATTTCTCCTCAAGGCCCGTCTGGATCAGCGAAACTTCCAGATTTTCCCGCAGGATGTCGATGTAGGAATCTGCCGTCATTATCCCGTCGATTTTCACCAGGCTTCCCACTCCACCCCACGAAAAGCACCCCCAGACCATCACATTTCCTCCTCCATGCTTCACCGTGCCTTGTATGTGGCGCTCCTGAAGCTCCTCACCCGATCTACACCACACACGAACCCGTCGCTTCCGGTTGAACAGTTCGAATTTTGATTCGTCCGTCCAGAGAACCGTTTTCCAGAACTCTAGGGGCTTATCAGCATGCTCCTTAGCAAACTTAAGCCGTTTGACTTTGTTTGCCTTGCTGATAAATGGGCGCTTCCGAGCAACTTTGCTGTTCAACCCCTGTGCTACGAGACGGCGACGAACAGTTCGACTGGAAACTGTTAGCTGAAGAGCCTCCTGGATCTCGCGGACAGTTACCTTCGGGTTCTTCTTCACTTCACGCATGATCTTGGTGTCCGTTCTCGCATCCGTTTTGCGCATCCTGCCTCTGCCAGGGCGATCCACCACTGATCCGAACGATTTCATTTTCTGCAGAATTTTCCCGACCGCTGTTTTGCTGATATTGTACTTCCTAGCGACAGACCGGTGCGATTCACCGTTTTGCACATCACGAACAACCAATTTTCGGATACACACGGGAATTGCTTTCGAAATCACTACGTCCTCCATTTTTTTCAACTGATTCAAATGCGATCACGTGTACAAATGCACCAGTTCCACCCGTTTGCTTCAATACATGTCAAACTTTCAAAACAAAAACAATCGAGGGGTTTTCCGATGGAAACTTATCGAAAACATACCGATTTTTGAAGTGGGCACTTTTTTTTGTCACTGTTTTCTTTTTCAATCCAAATTGATTTTCTTTTACTTCAAGTAAAACTTTATATTTTCAGTATTCCATAGGTGTAACTTTAAAAGAATAATAAAGGTAAGACATCGAAACAGACTACGGTGTGTTTATTTGAATTTGAACCAAATAAATGAGAGAAATTTCAAAAATGATGGGGTGGGCACTTTATTTTGCCTATCAGTGTATTTACAATACATTGAATTCAAGGTTATTTGTGTTTTGTATTATTTATTTATTTTACATATTAAGCATATCCCTACATATTGCATTTCCATTAAATATATCATGATTATATATAAATTTATCCTGCATATTAAAAAATTCTGGGACGGGAGGGAGCATCAGGGCATCATTGAAGTTGCAGGGCTGGTAGCGAGTCACTTTTTAGTGACTTAGTCACTTTTTTCAAGCCAGTCACTAAAAAGTCTCTTTTTTTAAGGTCAAGTCACTAAAGTCACTATTTCTTGTAATACAGGGTGTCTATTCATTTTTCTAAATAAAATTATCTGACTTTTCCAGGTTTTTTAGAGTATTTTAACGGATAAATTCCAGTTTTATAATAAAGCAAAATTTTTAAATGCGTTAAAAATATTCTTTTTTTGTGTAGATCAAAAACAACAGAAAACAGACATGTCAATCAGTTTTAAAGAAACAGCTTTACAATCAAATCCATTGAATGTTGAAGTTTATCACTTACTTAATTTCTCACTTAATAAAGTTGTAAAAAACTTACCCTATTTGAGTAATTCCAAGATACAAACATTATTCAACATCTTGAAGTTTCGTATTGCATGTACAAGTTCAAGATATTGGAAATTTTCAAAGTGCCAAAATCAAGGAAAGAAATAAATGATTTATTTCAAGTTCGTAGGAACTTTGGCGAATTAATGAGTAATGAAAAGAAATGATGAGAATTTCAGTGAAGCTCCATAAACAAACTGCGGGAACATAAGGGAAGTTAATACGCTGAAAATATGGGGAACTTACTAGAAGCGGTTCTTTTAGCATCCGAAAAGTTTCGGGAACTTTTTTGAAGTTCCTAAAATTTCAGAGAACTTCAAAGGCGTCAAGCGAACTTTAAAAATAAAGAAAACATGAGGGGTATTGTGCATTTTTTAAAGAATTTCTAGGTACCTCAGAAAAGCTAGAACTAGCGATTTTTTTTTGGGGAATTTCAGAACTTAAGCGCAGTTTCCGTAGCTTTAGTCCAGACTTTTGGAGCAGTTAGAATATCTATAATCGTACATTTAGAAAAATTCAGGACAGTTCCATGATATGCTGAAAAAAAATCGAGAACCCTTAAGAAGTTCCGAGAATTTCAGGGAAGTACAGAGTCCTTCAGAGAATTTATGAAAACTTCAGAAATATTTCAGAAACTTCACAGAAGTTCAGAAGTTAAAGGTTTTTACGGGAATTCCATTTATTTCCGAGCAGCAGAACCGAGATCTTCAATAGAATTGAAAGTTTTAGGGAAGCTTCGAGAACACCAAGACAGATTATAGAATCAAGGGGCAGTTCAAACAATTTCAAGGAAATTGTAAAAACCTTAAAGAAGTTGTGAGAAACTCAGGGAATTATGAATATATATCAAACAAATTGCCGGATTATTAAACAAATTAAGAGAACTTCAGGTAACCACTGATAAGTTTAGGGAAAATTAGGGACCGTTAATAATGGTTATAATACTTAAGGGAAATTGTCGAAACTTCAAGGCAAATAATTGAATTTCAGTAAAGTTGCGGGTTCTTAAAAAAATACTGAAAATTCAGGGCAGTCTAGAGAACTTTAAGGAAATTCAATAATCGTTTAGGCAGTTTAAAAACTGAAAAGTCTAGACTATTGAAGAAGTTTTAAATAAGTGTCAATAATTTAAGGGAAGTGAACTTCAAAAAAATGTTGAGAACTTCAATGAAAATCATAGAACTATATTAATTATTTCGTTCTAATTCCATGAAAATTGCGGTAGCACAAAAGTTCCAGAAATTTAGAAAAACTTCGAAAACTTCACAGAAGGACTGTGATCTTCACAAACATTTCGAGAACTTTATAGAAGTCTATAGAGCTTAAGGAGAGATCCGCGAACTTCAGGATTTTTTATGAACATTGGGGAGGCCATTCCTTTAGTTTCAGAAAATTAGTGGGAAATTAAAGCAGTTCCCAGATTTTTAGATAACTTCAGAGACGTTAAAAAAGTTAATTGAGGTCTTCGCTTACGTTCAGAAGCACACTGAAGCTTAAACATTTTTAGGGCGGTTCAATTAAATTCAGTGCAATACAACAAGATTCATGAGAACTGCTAAAACTTTAGAGAAGTTTTGAGAATTTCAGAAAAGAACAAAGAACCTCAGAGCAGTTCCGTTAAGCTTAGAGAAATTCAGAGAATTGTTAAATGTTTAGAGGAGATCCATGATCATTGAAAAAAATTAGGAAACTTTAGGAAGTCCTAAAAAAGTTCAGGGAAGTTTAGGAATTTGATGAGAAGTAGTGTAAGTCTCAGGCTACTTTCTCAAACTACAAAACAACTTCAAGGCAGTTTCATTAACTTCAGGAAAAAATTGGGAACTTTCAAGTAGTTCTGAAAATCTAAAAACAGTCCATTCCATATTCTACGGAGATTTCCATTGAAATATTCCTCAAAATTTTGGTGAAGCTATCCTCCGAATTCAATTTTATTTTAGTTATCCTTGGAATTCTCCACAATAAGAAACTCTTTCGAAAGATTCTCCG